GCCCAGTTGTGTACAAAAGAAACTTCTAGGTTCAACTCATTACCGTAGTGCTCTTTACTATAACCCTTTAGTGGTCTATGCTGGCAGAGGAAGACATTTAATGAAGAGTCTCAACCATGCCATCCTCAGGCCTGGAGCATGTTTAAGTCTGAAACTCATAGAAAAAGTGGTGGAATGGACTTAATTTTTTTCAAAATACAAGTCTGGAGAACCCTGTGAACACCCTCCTGAGCTCAACATGTTAGAGTTAACTGTCTTTAAGAGACCCCAGCAATTAATCTGCTATTAATCTGACCTCACTACAACATTCAGTCAGCAACAGAAGAGCCAGTGGGGTCCTGGAACTGAAGTTAAATTTTTGTGAAGAGCCCACCCTGGAGCAGTCATCGTAGAAGAACTTGAAAATAATGACAAGAGCAAGAGCTAACGTTGCAGAGCTTTTCAGGATGGGCAGGTTCATGATTACCACCTGCCATGCATAAAACCTAGTGGCTAGGTACTATTATCAGCTACATTGTTTTTAGTGATATTAGTAGTTTATTCCTTTCCCCCCCATAATTTTATTGAGAGACAAATAGCAATGAGACAGTTTCAAACCAAATTGGTAGGACAGATTCAATAATTAACACATTGTATACTGTCTTCCTAGTGGTTATTTGCTGTACAAGATGCAGACATGATATCCTATTTACAAACACTATTACAACAAATCCCTCTATTCATTAAGAAAATGTAACTATATATCTATCCTATTCACTTTGAATACACAGATACAAAATGGACATTCATTTATATATCCCCCTTTTTGTTTAGTTCTGTCATTTGAATATTATAGGTGTGTAAACTCAGCAAAATATTCTAAAAGAGTCCAGTAATCCATAATAGTATTGGGTCTTCTGCTTGACTGGTGATGTCAGAAATTATTGACCTGAGTCCCCTACAGCTCAACATAACACCATAGCTTTACTTCTTATACTTTGTTTTTATACTTTTCTAGTGGATGTTTAACACCAAGATAAAGCAAGACCTATGCAGCAAGAGTTGTAGCTTTTGGATCTGATAAGGTCAGGCAAATCCCCTCAGGGTTTATCCTGAGACCCTGTACCTCAGATTGTAGAACCTTTGTCAGTGTCAGCCATGTGGATGAGTCACTATCAGCTACATTTTATAGATAAGGAAAGTGCAGCTCATAAAGCATTCATGATGACACAAGGCTCTGAGCCCAGATGGTCAAATCCCAGAGTGCAGATGCGCAGCAGCAGCAGCAGCACTCCCTTTGTTTCTGACAGCAATGAGGAGGACCACATCCAGAACCTCAGGGCCTAACCCTAGGGCGAGAGACAGGTGGGCACCACTCGTAGACATCCATAAAGGAATCTGATTGTGAGCATACAAGAGGCAATGAATGGCACATAGAAGACTTCAAGGAGGAAGTGCCACTTGCACTTAGTGTTGCAACAGACAAAGAGGAGGAAGGGTTTCAGACTCAGAAGATAATATACTCCAGGGGGGAAGAAACAAAGAGGCCACTAAGTTAATTATTCCACTAAATGTACAATTGATTCCATTTTCTGAATTCCAGTCATGTTCATTAGATGAGCTCTAAATGCCCCAAAGTCTCAGATTCTATAGGCCCAGAGAGACTGCAGGTTAGACCCAACTTTTATCTAAATAAGCTTGAAGTGTCAGTATGACCTGTGCCCAGCTCTCTCCAGGCCAGGCCCTGAGAAGCTTTCCTTACCATCAGAGTCTGGGATGTTGGAGCCAGGCACAAGCTTGGAAACTTGGGGGAAGTGGGAGTCAAAGACTGCAGAGGAAGACCCCCAAGACATCTTCATTCAAGTCTTCCTTTTTTCCAGTATGTCCACCCTTGGGTAGGAAGATGCTTGCTTTGTTCTCTTGACATGTGTTCCCCAATTCCATTGTCATTGGTGATTTTAGATGACATCTAACAATTTGCCAGCTCTCCTCTTTCCTCACTCTCTACTCACTCTGCCCAATCCAGAAACGTAGAAGTAGCCCAGGCTTCACCTACCCTTTACCTCTTCTGCTCCAATTCTGTACCAACCTCCAATTTCAAATTCTGAGTATTTCTTGAACCTTTTTTCCTTGTCTGGATCTCTGCTTCTGGTCCTTACCATTCCTGCACCTCTGGCTGAAGCCATCTGTAGCTGTTCTCCTTGCCTGGCCTTCTGCTTACCCAAGACCAAGTCCACCAAGATTCCCTTGCTTAAGCGCTCTCGAGGGCTCCTCCTCACCACCAACAGATAAGGCCCTGCACTATCTGGTGTGATCCAGCCTCATCTCTCAGGACTTTCTATCTCAGCTTCATGTGCTGATATCATAAAATAGCTCGCAGCTTCTCAGCATATTATGCTAGCTCATGTGTTTTATTCCATTCAGCTCCCTCTGCTTAGATACAGATCCCTTCTCACTTGTCTTCACTTGGGCAATACTAAATCATCTTTCCAGACAATCCGGCCATCCTCAGGCTCAGGAAGATTCCTTAAACTTGGAGTAGGAAAGTATTCCTATTGTATCTTGTGCCTATTATCTCTCTTTTTAATTTTAAAGATAATAAAGAAATTATAAAAATGATACACAATTTCAAAACAAGATGACCGGAAATACAACGTAGCTTAGATAATTGCACTACTAATTTCTATGAGTTCATTGAAAGGAACAGTTATTGTTTATGGTGTTTGATCAATCTTACGTGGCTGTATCTGGTAATCTGAACAACTACTTTCAAGATAAAAATAGGCAATATAATAGTATGGTACTTTTGAATGTATAGTGGAAATATTTATTTGGGAATCTGCTGCCCCCATTAGGCCATCATATCATTTTAGGGATATTCGCATCAGCACCTACTGCAATATCCAACACAAAATGATATTAGTTTATATTGTTGGTTGGAATTTAGCCCCCTTAGAGCAGGGAGTGTAACTGTTCTATCATTGGACTCCAAGCAACATGCAACAAATGTTCCTTGAAAGGAAGCTGCTGCTACTGATAGCCATGATGGAAAGAAAGGTGGAGAGTCCTTGATTACACAGATTCTAAATCTGTGCCAAGGAGGAGGGTTTGCATGGTAAACATTGCCTGTCTTGAGCAGCATTCTGGAATATGTGAAGGTATTAAGTTCCCTGGTAATTATTAAAAGAATAATGCACTGGCTTTGCAACAGGTGGCAGACTCTTACACTATGACCATCACTGTCGCTTTGAGCGTTCCCCAAAGAGGTACTGTTATGAATGAACAAAATTATGGTAAAGGGAGAAAGTTTGCTAAGGCCAAGAAGGAATACTAAATTCCCCCAAGTGGGCTCCGTCGGAGTCCCTAAGACAAGCAGGACAACACTGCTTACCATTGGAGTTGACCCTGTCTCCTCTTCCTGGTGACTTCTTTGCACAAAGGCTCTGCCATCCTTGTAGCCTGTTCCTGGTTTGGCGACTAGAACATGAATAGCTAACCAGGCGACAGGGGCCAACAAGAGGATCCTCTGTTGACTCCAGCGGGTCTCAGAAGGGTGGGGGATTCACATTTTGAACACCCACCTCTTGCTAATCCTCCAGCAAAACCAGTCAGGCTGGTTGTAATGTATTATTAGAAAGCCCACATGCCTGTTCTTGGAACAACAGTCTGTTGTGCTTTTCCCATCAGGGCACCAAGCTGAAATATGGGGGAAGGGGAGCTGGGGCAGTGGGAGCAGAGGCAAGGATGGCACAGGGCAGAGCACTTGGGCCCCTAGTGTCAAGCAAACTGGGCTTGAAGGCCCTTACAAGTGGGCTGAGGCCTTGAAAAATGACATATTTACTCTAAGGTGACAAGGAACCTTCACAAGGGTTTGGGGGTGAGATTTAAAGGACATACTATTATAAAGCAACCGGTACAAGCTTGCAAAACGTTAACACTTTAGATTCAAGTGCATCTTAGGGGGATTCTTTTAGCGTAAAGACTCTGTATGAGAGCCCACCACTGCCTGCTGCCCGTCCAAGGAGCTGATGGAGCACAGCGACCTTGCTAGGCACAGGGAGAGGAGGGCCAGTGTGGCCCTGGCAGCCCTGCAAATCCCACCAAGACCTGGTGGTTTCAGCCTAGCACGAGTGAAGAAGCTGACGTTGTGTTTTAAGGCAAAGAATTTGCCATCATTTTATCAATCTCTTCATGAACTTTTCACTGTTAATCTGGATTCCTGTCCTTTTTTTCCCCTTCTTGTTTTGTTTTTTTCTTCCCATTGGAATACACACTAGGAATTGTTCCAAAGATTCGTCTTCAGACAATACTTAGAACCAGTAACTATGTCTCCTCACACTGTAATGAGTTGTGCCTGACATTTAATCAACAGCTATTTTAGGAAAAACCCTTTATCTTCCATCTCTTTCTTTCCAGAAAGGTAAATGATATCTTGAGGGGGGAAAGGCAACTAGAGTATAACTGAGAGGAGCAAAAGGGAGGGGAGGGACTTGCTGCTTTTATTTCTGGGAAGGTAAAGCAGCAGCAACAACTACAACTGCAAGGATCTCTATCCAAAGAACCCTCACAAAGAAATTGCACCCACAGAGGAGAGCCAAGCACCGACCTCCTCCTTCATTCTGAGAGCTCATAGAGACGCTGCCGCACCCCACCAGCCTCCCTTCACTCACTCCCTTTCTTCCCTGGGCCACCCAACTCAGTGGCCCTAAAGTGCTCAGAGTTACATTTAGGTGAAGCTCCTGGCCTGGTACACTCTGTGCTGTCCTCAGTCCAGTGCTGCCCCAGCAGGTGCCAGCCTTCCGTGGCAGGCCACCACCCAAGACCTCCCTCGCTGTGCCTGGCTGCCTCATGGCTGGGTGTGATGTTGAGGTCAGCTAGGCTGTTGTCTGCTGAGGCTCTCGCTGGCCTAATGCTGGCTCATGAGGGAACAAGCAGGGCACACGCAGCAGCCCAGCAGTTCTCCAGGCTCATAAAAGCCTTCACCCCTATTAACCTTAAGGCTCTAGAGAGGGGTACTGTACCTCCAGAAGATGATCTGCCCCAGGGAAGCCATGGTGAGGGGCAAGGGTTCCTTCCCACAGCAGGAGCCAGGACCTGGGCTGAGCGGAGCTGCAGCTGTCCTCCTCAGTGCCGGGCTTTTGAGTGCTGTGATTCACAGTGAGCTCCAGTGTGCTCACCTTAAATAGCGCAGGCTGGGAAGGCTGGCTCAGGTATGAGGAAACAGACCTGTGGTGCGGAATGGCCTGTGGCTGCCTGCCTCCAGTCAGCCGGGAAGCCAAGGGCCTGAGCTGCCTTCCTAAGCCCTGAGCTGGTGAGAGAGTGAAAAGGAGAAGCTTCCCAGGCCCTGGCTTTAGGGCTCACATTCAGCACAGGTCTTTTCCTTCTAACTGTGAAAGGGAGCTGTGGAGAAGATTTACTCTCAAAACAAATAAGAACAGGAACAGACCACTGCTGGCAAGTCTGTTTCCCTTCTGGCAGAGGCTGAGTCACCCCTGTGGGGTCTCTCTTGAGGTGACTCATGCTGAAAGACCTCAGAAAGGCAGAGGGAGAGTGACCAGAGCATGGAATTTGTCACCCAAGACTGAGACTGCCTGCCTGGGTGGGCAAATCTCTTCTAGTTTCACTTCAATAAGAGAGTGAGAGGGCCTGCTTTTCTCACCTCAAAGTTTTATTTTGAGGTAACAGAAATATTCTAAATGTACATTATTTAGGACAACTCCGGTTGGGGGTGATTGAGTTAGCAAACATGATTTTCATACTGCATCCAGGCTTCAGATTTGCGACTAGACAGAATGCTTCTTAAGGTGCAGCGCTTGCCATGTCGGCCTTGTTCCCTCCGTTCTTGGGTAGGAGATGCTCATGACTGCTGCCTAAGTGTTTGTGGTAAAAGTGCTCCAGGCCTCGAGACAGGAAGGAGGACTTGGTGGTAAGGTGGCAGCAAAGAAGAGGACAGTTTCGCAGCAGTAAGATCTTTACAATCAGACAAAGCCAGGTCCGAATCCTGAGTAGCTTTGGGAAAATCACTTCTGTTTCTTCTAAACATCTCTTGCTGGATTGGTTGGTTAGAGAAGAGGTCCGTGTGCCTCCCGTTTCCTCAAAGTAAGTAAAGAACAATGCCTTCTCACTGTTCAGCATGTCAAGATCAGACTCTTCTCAGGCTTGGGGAAGTGGGCTAATGACTTCATAGTTCCCATACAATCTGACCAAAAGCACGGGGTTTCTGCTTAACCCCTTCAAGAGCCCCAGAAAGAAGAGCCTCACTTCAGACACCTCCTCCAGCCATCTGGCTTTGCTCAGGAGAGACACAAGGAGGGCCCTGGAAGGAAAACCCGATGGCCCTTCAGGGAGTCCTGCAGGGGAGTGGCAAAGTAGCCAAGGGGCAGCGTCTACCAGGAAGGGATACAGGAGCCCACCAGCCACAAGGGCAGGTGTTATTTGACAGGAATATAAAGCTGGAAAACATTCTGCCTCTGAACGATGAAATGAGCATTTCTGTGGTTCTGACACTAAAACCTGGACAGCGCCTGGCTCCATTGGCACTTGTCTCCCAGGACTTCTGGTAGCGTTTCACACTCTGACTTGTGCCCAGCTTGCTTTTCCTCTCTTCCACAAGTGAAGGGCTTCCTCACTGTTCAGTCTTCGGCACTCTTCTCACAGCACGTGTGTCCTTTAGGTGACCTCAAGCCCTGCTCTGCTCTACCTGCTGCTGTGTCTGGAGGTCCCCCAATGCATAACCTTAACTCATGCCTCTTGACAGCTGTAGCACCCCCATAGCCAGCTCAGTGAACAGCACCAGCTGGGTTCCTTCAAGGATCACAAAGCTAGAAAGCATCACTGCAGTCCAGGTTCTTACCTCTTCTTGTTCTAAGGGTAGAGGGAAATTTCCTTTCTGCCCTTCGAAGGGCCACTGGAGTAAACTGACAAAGATTAGAGAAGAGAAAGACACACATTTATTAATGTGCAAAGGAAGAAAACTCCAGTGAGAGCACATGGGGAATACCACCGAGGGCTTGTAATTTATTATTAGGGAACTGCTTAATCCCCAAGACATCGTCTTTGGAATTTAAATGTGCCCAAAAGAAAGACATTTTCTTACAGGGGAAATCTGTCCTGACGCAGTTACATTCCTTAGACTTCTTTGCTAAGAAAGAAAATAGTATTTTAGGGAGAGGGAGGGTGGAGTTTCCTTGGAGTTGGCTCTTCATGCAGAGAAGAGAATTCCAGGGATCTTTTACACCTGGGTAGGCTGAAGTAGTGTAAACTCCCTTTTAGCTCAAAATTAGCCTACCCCTACACACTGTAATTTGGGGGTATGATTCCTTGAGCCCCAACAGTAGATAGCATGAGTGAGAAACCTCAGAGTTGCTCTGTATTCCCCCTTTTCGCCCTCTTTACCCCTGATTTCACCAGTTCTGATTTTTCCTCCTTGATTAGTTTGTCGGGCTGCTGTGATGAAGTGTCACAGATTAGAGACATACAAAAATCAGAATTTTACTTTTCCTTTTCTGGAGCTACAAGCCAGTGAGCAGGTGTCTGTAACAGGCCTGGCTTCCCCTGAGGCCTCTCCTTGGCTGGCAGAGGGCTGCTGTCTTCCTGTGTCTCTGCAGGGCCTGCATGTGGAGCATGCCTGCATCCCACTCTTCATCTTACAGGAGCACCAGTTGTATCAGATGAGAGCTACCTCGTGACTTCATTCTAATGTAACTGCTTCTTCAAAGGCCCTATCTCCAAACAGCTCACAATTGGAGGTACTTGGGATGGTACTTTTCACCTGTGTGTCTGCAGGATATAATCCATCCCATACCACTCTCTTGCTCCTCTAAACCCATCTCTCCAACACTGTGCTGAAATTCAGCCTCTCGTTATTTCTTTTTTTCCCATAATTTTATTGATAAACAAATAGCAATGAGACAGTTTCAAATCAAATTGGTAGGACAGTTTCAATAATTAACACATTGCATACATTCCTCCTAGTGGTTAATTGCTGTACAAGATGCGAACATGATATTCTATTTACAAACACCATTAGAACAAATCACTCTATTCATTAAGAGAATGTAACTATATATCTATCCTAACCACTTTGAATACACAGATACAAAATGGACATTCATCTGTATACCCTTTTTTTGTTAAGTTCCGTTATTTGAATATTATAGGTGTGTAAACTCAGCAAAATATTCTAAAAGAGTCCAGTAGCCCATAATAGTATTGGGTCTTCTGCTTGATTGGCAATGTCAGAAATTGTTGACCTGAGTCCCCTACAGCTTAGCATAACAGCATGGCTTTACTTCTTGTATTTCGTTTTTATACTTTCTGCTGGATGGTTAAGACCAAGGTAAAGCAGGACCTATGCAACAAGAGTTGTAGCTTTTATGTGGCCGGGGAGATGGCTTAGTGGAATAGCACTTCCCTGGCAAGCACAAGGACCTGAGTTCAATCCCCAGTTCCACCAAAAAACCCCCCACAAAAACAAGAGTTATAGCTTTTGGGTCTGATAAGGTCAGTGAAATCCCCTCAGGCTTTATCCTGAGATCCTGTACCTCAGATTGTAGAACCTTTGTCAGTGTCAGCCATGTGGATGAGTCACGGCCATTGCTTGGCCAGTGTGCTCTCTGTGAAAGCCTGAGAGAATGTTTTCTCTCCAAGTGACTCTCCTTAGGCACACTCTACATCATCAATTCATTATTTCTTGGTTGAATTAAATTATGAAATTTAAATGGTTTTAATTATTTGTTAGTTTGTTGTCCTGCTTCTCTGCTGCCCCTTGCATGAAGCACTTCACCCTTTTCTGCTAGAGTGATTTTCTTACAATGCAAATCTGAGGGGGCTGTTTCTTGCCTGCAGTCTGACCTCTGCTGCCTCTTGATTTTTCTCTCTTATGCTCCCTTCTGACTCTGTAGAGCAACCACATTGAACTGGTTTGGATGTCTCAAAAAGTCATGCTTTCCCAAGCCATTCTTGTTTGTATTGCACCCTCCACCTGAAGTCTACCCTTGCCCTTTTCTTGTTTTTTATACAGTCTATGGGAAAAAATGCCAACCAATTCCATGTGGCAAGGACCATGCTTTGGGCTGCCGTGTAAACCTGGGGCTGAATCCTGACCTATGCTTTGTCTGTTTCCTTCACTAGATCAGCCTTACAAATAGGAAAGGTATCCGTGTTTGCATTTTATTCCAGTTTATTGCATAAACCAAGTAAGCAATCATTGAATGTTTGTTGAATGGGGTGTATTTTTCTTTCGCAGCACACAATGATAATAGTATTTGCTGTGTATGTGTATCTCATTGCTAGTCCATGAGGTCCTGGAGGACAAAGCTATGCCTCATTCCTGCTTGATTTTTTTTCTTTTTTGTTTGTTTGTTTTGTTTTGTTACCCAGTGCCAACACCAACCCAGACACCAAAAGGTTTCAGGAACACTTGATGGATGGGCAAGCAGGGATCGAACTGCAATGTAATCAATCAAACACATTCCTGACGAGAAGGCTTGTGGATTGGATTGACATATTAGAGACAGACAGAATGAGTTGCATTTGAAATAGAGAAGCAATTTAGAATTAGGACAAAAGGTAAAGCAGATGTTTAAGCAAATAAAATCTGTTTGGTTTTTTTTTTCCTTGTTAATCTTGGGGGACAAAGACAAAGAGAGAGACAGAGACAAAGGCAATTTAATGTATCCAGAGTCAAAAGACCTTCTCATGAATTTTTAAAAGTGTACAGCATTGAAACAGTTGGCACTTCTTTCTTCATTGTGGATCTGTATATTTTTCTGGTCACCAGGTTTAAAGTTCCCCAGAATCACAGCACACCCTGGCTGTGTGGGGTTCCGCACTTTTGACCAAAGACATGAGCTCATGTGATCCTTACCATAACCACAGAGACAGTCCAATAAAGGGAGTCCTACAAATGGGAAACCAAGTCTCAGAGCTTAAGGGATTTCCAAGATCAACTAATATGAGCCTTCCCTGTCCTCTTTTACCTGATTGTGTAAATAGAGAAGAGAGATTGCGCTGGCTTATGAACCTAACTTTTAAGGAAACACTTCAGTGCATCTGCACGTCTGACATTTGGTAGTCTTCAACATTATACAGAAGTTCTCAGAAAAGCAAGCTGTCAAGGATTCTGCCACTAAGAGGCCCCTAGGAAGCATGC